TAATCGTAGTTCATCAAATGAATTATTCAGCTGGNGAACTACGATTATGACCGTAGTTCGGCGCACAGGTGTATTTTGAAAGATTCTTGTGATGCATCACGAAAAGGTTGCTCAAAGGCTCATGAAATGGAAGATTCAAGACACTGGAGGGGGCATGATGAAGTGCGAAATTATCATGTTGTAAGAACAGATTTAACCAACTGCATTCAAAAGTTAATGAATCGAATTTTTCAGCCGTGTTGCTTCGGAATACTTTTCAATGCTGCATCGATATGTTTGTTGCACATGGCACATAAAACATTCTGTTCATTTCGGTTGATTTGCAAAGGACTGTGTATAACGAACTGTATAGCGCTATTCACTCTCCTTTCGTGGAGCGTACCTGCACTTTTGAGGTTCAGTTTTTGCGACATTTAAATCTTCAGACTCATTATTCACTTCAGTTGATTCGACCGTTGTCACATTTTCTGCCTATGAAAAATGAAACTCAGGAATGATCAAAAACCAAGAATTTGATCAATGAAGCTTAACATGTGATAATGCTCCCAACCAGAGAAGTTATTCTCAAGTTTTGGTCTTTGAAAAGTAACGAAGATCAACTTGGAGCAACGTTGAATGTCGTTGTCCGGAGCTTGAGCGTGATTAAGGCCGAGATTGAATATTAACCTAGGCCTTAAGGGTTAGCCTAAACTGAGTTTAGGCGAGTTCAAAATTTTGGATTTTCCAAAGTTTTTGGTTCACCCATTAACCTGAATTTCATGGATAACCACGATGTGCTTGGAATATATAGATGTAAGATGGTCTGTTCGATGAATACTTGTTCTACTGGAGCATTGAACCTCGATAAGCGATCTTTTAGTGATGCACCATGGACTCACAATAGAATTTTGCGAGTCTTTACTGGACAGGTGTCCAATGGAATGTACTACTCATCAATAGCTCTGCATCTGCTAATGGCATGCAACCGCTTTTGCGCAATTCGCTTCCCGACAAAATACAATCGCACCTTCTCGCACAAATCCACAATGGCCGCCATCATATTCATCTGTGCTGCATGCCTTTTGATTTGTTCGGAATATTACATCCGTAATCCCTTCAAGTCGTCTTCTTTCAAACACTTTCTTCTTCCATTTTGATTTCCTCTGAAATTATAATGTCTCGTTGCAATTAACTTGCAAGTGCTCATTCGTTATTGACAACTGAATTTCGAGCAATTCATCGACGATCGAGTTCGAGACAACGGGGATAATGAATGGGTGATAATGATTGGGATTAGGATTGATATGTAGAACTGACATCGGGAAAGATTCAACAGTTTCAGTTCGTATGAGATGGAAAGAGATTATTCCTAGCCAAATACATCTTCATTCACAAGAGTTAATGTTAATCAAGGAACAATCAGTCTTTTGGTGAACTGTTGATGAAGTAAATATGAGCAATTTGGTTCATTCAATTTACAGTCAATGCTTCTCACCGCTCTTTTCTGTTAATGCAGTTATTTGTGATCATCATTGATGTTTGGAATTGTCCTAGGTGGGTGTGGATTCTTCTTTCATCGAGCCAAAATGGTTTGGGGATTCCAATCGACGAAATGTGGTCATTTCTTATCACTATACATTGATTTTACTTATGCAACAATTATATCCACATCGATGATAGCGCTTGATTTTTCAACTTTCATTATGTTACGATCTCTCAATAAGGTTAGCTCATGCAATCATTTATTCGAAGTGCAGAGGAATCGGGTCGATGAGTCTCCGTAGGATGGAAATTTCTGATCGAATCGTCATCACGAACACAGTCATTCCTTCATAGATAACTCGAAGTAGCAATCATGAACAGTGATAATTAGAAGTAGTGCATTAAAATAAGCACATCAGTACAGTAGTACATTAATAAATTAGTACATAAAATTAGTACATTAAAGTTGTTTTCAAGGCTTCA